TATCGTCATCATCATTATCTATATGTATGTGGTAGTGGCGATTAGCCCCAGTCATGGTCCAGCCTCAAGGTAAAAGGCACTGGACAAATATAGAATAAAAAGACAATCTTAAACTTAGTTTGCAACCTAAGTAATTTCTTTGGGGGCTTTTTTTCCGATGCTTCCTTTTTAAAAAAAAGTTTAATTTTTCCTTTTTCACCCCACTTTATAATCTTTCAAAATGTCACCAACTTTGGAAAATTTAGAATAGTAAATGCAAAAATTAAACAAACTCTGCAACTATGTGTAACTGCGACTGGTCCAGAGACTATGCTAGGCAAAAGCACATTGTGCAATTGCTTAGTACCATAAACCAGTGAAAGGGCCTTCTATTTGCTACAAACTTACCTGTTTACTACTGTGGGGTAGTGAGCCCCAAAACTATTCCTGTTATATCCCACAATGGGCAAGCGCTAGCTTTCAATTTTTCAAAAGACAAACAAATCAAAACTAACATTTCAATCTGCAAATTACTCATTTTGATTCATTTCAAAATTTCCTGATGAAGCATCAAAAACATTTTTTTAAAAAAGGACATTTTCCTGACAAATAATTATATTTGAATGAAACTCCATTTTTTTAGCAGGAAAACTTTTCATTTGGCAAAACGTTGACCAGTTCTAACTCTCAGTAACCCTACAAGATCAACCCTGTGCATGCAGCTGAGCCCATCAATGAACAATGGTACAATAACAAGCCATGGATAAGGACATCAGCAACACCCTTGAGAGACTGAGGTGAAAGTTGTTTTGCTCTGCCACTGATTTCCTGTGTGACCTTGGGCAAGTCACTTAGCCCTTCTTTGCCTCTGTTCCCCATCTGTACAATGAGGACAATAGAATTTCCCTAATTCACAGTGGTTTGCTGAGGATGAACACATTAAAGATTGTTAAGTGCTTCGATACATGGTGATGGGGGCTATATAAATACCCCAGAAAGAAGTAAGCAATATTCCTAGCCCTACACTAAAGAGAAAATTTGCAATAAAAGTGAGTTAGCGGTGGAGGTGAAAGACCATTCAAGAAGAAAATGGATTTCATTTCCAGCATCCAAAGGGCTATTACAATAAATATCAGGGATGGGCAATCATTTTTGATAAGGGGCCACTACAAGATTTTGGTAAGTGGTCAAGGGCTTAACTTTTCTGTGGAGGAGGTGCGGGGTCTGAGGTGGAGGTTGGGTGCAGAAAGGAGCTCAGGGTAAGGAACTAGAGTGCAGGAGAGGGTATAGAGTCTGAGAGGGAGTTTGGGTGAAGGAGAGGGTTGTGACATGGGGCAGAGGATTAGGGTGCAAGGTCCAGGGAATATGGGAGCAGGAGAGGGGGCAGGGTATAGAGGCAATGACCTGGGGCAGGTGATTGGGGTGCAGGATCCAGCCGGGGGTATGGGTGCAGGAGAAGATTCTGTCCTGGGGGGAGGAGTATAGGAAGAGACTCAGAGTCTGGGAGGGAATTGTGACCTGGGGTGGGGGACAGGATGCAAAGGGTTGGGTGGTGACCTGGGGAGGGAGGAGGTGGTGACCTGGGGCAGAAAGTCAGGGTTCTGGAGAGGGTAGGATGTTAGAGGCAGGCTCTGGCCAAGAGGCACTTACAAGACAGCTCCTGGCCAGCAGCCCAGCACGACCCTCAGGCAGGTCCCCTGCCTGCCAGCAACCCCATACTGCTCGAAGTGGCTGGCTGCTCCATGTGGCTGTCTACACCGGGGAGAGGAAGCTTTACACACTGCCCCTCCCCCAGCACAATCTCTCAGCTCCCATTGGCTGGAGAATCCCCCACTTCACTCCCATTGGGAACAATGGATGCTGTCCTGCTGAGCTCTTTCCCAAAAATCTGAGCCCTACTCTCTGTACCTCAGTTTCCCCCTCAGCAAAATGGGGACAACAATACTTTCCTACCACACATGGGTCTTAAGACGCTCCGTTAGTGTAATCAGTGCCGTGCTTGGAGATCCTCTGCTGATTTCATTATTAAATATCTTTTTATTAATATTGCCCGCACTGGTAAATAACTTATTAAACTGCACGTATTTACAATAAAACAGCCCCGTTTGCAGAGGTCTCTTCCTGTGAAGCGGTTGATCAAGAGAAGAGCCGTAGTCACCCATCTGAGAGGGGATAAAAATCGAGCTGTACCCTCCCAGCGCAGGACAGCTGAAGAGGTGTAATTCGACAGCTCTCCGAGCTGCTGTCATTGCTGTGATTGAGGTAGACAGGAGGTGTGGAAAGGGCCAGGGCTGGTAAAGGACACAGACAGGTGGGAGGACGGAGCCTAGGGGTGGAGCGGAAAGCATGCAATACAAAAGGGATCACGCGGGCCTTTTCAGGGCATGAACCGGGAGATGGCGAGGAAAGTGAACAAGTCGGAGGGGAGGAGGAGGGGAGCTGAGAGCAGAGAGAGAGAAAGACGGACACATGAGGACTGACCCTTAAATTGGCAGATCTATAGTAAGGCTCATTGCAATAGGCAAAGCTATGAAAGAACAAGCCAGGAAGGAGCAAAACAGCTGGAGATAGACAGAGGAACTAGTGTAAAACTCTTAGAAATATCCAAAGCAAGGCGCCTAAAGGGAAGTAAAGTGAGCTAGGAGAGGGAATTCAAAGTCGCATGCCACCAAAGGTAGGGAGGGGAGGTCTAAGAGATGATGCAGGTGAGACAAGGGGGAACTCCCTTGCATCACATATACACACAGAGTGATCTTTAACTGGCTGAGAGAATCTTCCAGGCCCCAAAAGCTGGCCACCCACTGAGAGCCATTTCCGACTACACCAGCTGCAGCTTCCTCGCCGGACGCTCCTCGTAGACTAAAAATGCCCCATGGAGAAACTGCCTGCAGAATGAACCCCCGTTTGGGGCATGGAGCGATGCAGGGACCAAGCCTGGGGAAGAGGAGGAAGACACTTGCAACATTCCCAGTGAAGGTAATTTCTGTGATTTTCCAGTGCAATGTTAAAGAGGCTCCTCTGAGTGTCCCTTGAGAATTAGCATCAGCTATTATTTGCCCAGCAGAACCTAGAAACCCCAGCGAAGAGCCACGCCTCACTGCGCTAGGTGCTGTACAAACACGCACTATGAGACAGCCTTGGCCCCTAAGATCTTATAAACAATAGAGGGTGCCCACAGTCCAGTGCCTTTGCTCAATGTAGGGATAGGGTGTGGGTATGCAGGACGAGCTGTGTGACTCTGAGCAAGTCATTTAGCCTTTCTGGCCTCGGTTTCCCCAGCCATAAAATGGGCACAATGGGCTTGCCCTGCCTCATAGGAGTCTATGAGGATAAATACAGTAAAGATTGTGAGTGGCCTAGATACATGTAAGGAGCACAGCAAAAAAAAAATGTTAGCTGTTGATGGAGTTATAGGGATTATCACTACGGGAGGCTGTTGGCACCCAGAAGTGGCATCACAACCAGCAGCTGTTGCTGCCATGCCTGAGTAAAATGTAAAATGGTCCATGCTGCCGTGAGAGTGACTGCTTATGCAACATTGACACCCACATGCCAGCACAGAAGCACAGGAATAGACTAGACCATGCAAGGAGCTGTTTAGCAGAGTCCTCAAATGGCACATTTCATGAGGCTCATAGCTAGAGAAAAACAGAATCTGGGGATGCTCTTGGTTTTTCAAAGCCGTTTTGAAGAGGCATTGGTTTGGCAAAGATGAGAATTCAGTGAGATCCCATTGTTTTTGCCAAACCTTAACATTTTAGGCAGGCAAATTCTCAGCAATGGTGCTGCTGGACTGAAACTATAACAGGCCCATGATATGTGTTGCTTTCACCCAAAGAAAAATTGTAGTGATATCTGCTCCCATGAGAAGTGCTTTGTAAATTGGCTGGAACACCATTCTTCTCCATAGCCTCGTTCACGGTATAGCTCAAGAAATAAATCTCTGAACAGTTCTCTACTATGTCTGGAAGTGACCATCATTATGAGGATATATGGATATAAGAACTAAATGTATCAGAGATTGGGCCTCTTGATCAACAAGTTATTTGTAGGGGAGGGAAGACCAGGAGAATTACTTCACTAAATTTCTTAGTTTAGGATGTATTGTCTTTTTCCTCCTCCTCCTCTAGCTTTTCATTGCCATTTGCCTGTATTTCTAGCTGTCAAAACTTTTATTGCCTTCGTTGCTATGACATTATCATAGTATATTGATCCTCACAACCTATCTCCAAGCTACAGTGGGGTGGCCTCCATTTTACAGATGGGGAACTGAGGCACAGAGATTAAGGGACTTGCCCAAGGTCACACGAGAAGTCTGTGGCAAAGCAAGGAATTGACTCTAAGAATCCCACTGGGCAAGTTAGCATCCTAATCGCCAGGCCACCCTTTCTCATTCACTCAGTGTGTTATGACATGCACCTTTACGCTGTCCATAGCTGAAGTTGGTGAGGGGATTGCTGGCCAGAAGCCGTGTCACTTATTTTAATTGGGAATGTATGTAAAACTGTACAGAAGGTACAGAGAGCTACATTTTATTTTTCTTGTGCCCATCTCATCTAAAGTCTCCTCTGTGTTTCATAGCCACACCATTTGGAACCAACCAAAACAAGAACAGAAAAAAACCATGTCAGCCTTCCAAAAGCAGCATGGTCATATCCCAATATCCCCATGTCATGTCTGCCCTCCTCCTTCTCTCTTTGGAGGCATTGTGGCTGAGGCCTCGAAACCAGAGGTAGCTCTAGAAGAGGATTTGCAGACCAGCTGTCAGAGCGGTCAGGGTGTCAGGACTGTGTACTTGGTTCTGCCACAGGCTTGCCAAGGAATCTGTAGCTCCAGCATTCAGTAACTTTTAGTATCTGTTTTAGAGTGCCCAACATGAGCCTGTAGGACTGGATTTCCAGAGATCCTCCACACATTGACTTCAAGAGAAGTCATGGTGCTCAGACCCTTTGAAAGTGATACACACTGGGTGGCTGTGCACACACATACACACAGGTACCCCAGAAGAAATGGAGGTGTATGTCAATGTACTTCTCTGTGCCTCAACTTCTCCCATCTGTAAAATGGGGATAGTAATTCTCACCTACTTGGTGAGAGCATGTGATTTTTCAGGAGGCGCTCACTGGGGTATAAAGGTAAAAATGGACGGGAAGGGTGCAATTTGCCATCGGAGTAACCACGAGAGGAAATAACATCTGCCCAGGGCTCTCCTGAAAACTATTAAACAGACAAACGTTTATGTATTGTATGGGATGCCATTCTGTCCTCAGGTATACCCATGTGACCTCTGTTAAGAGACCAAAGGAACTGCAGTTGCTTGGCATCTCTGAAAATCAGGTGCTTAAATGTGACTTTGGGTGGCTCACCGGGCACCCAAGTCATTTGGGAAGCTGGAAAGAGCACAACACTACCTTCCCTGACATGCCTGGGGGTGGGGAGGAGCTGGGCTGGTAGGGATCATCTGGTGAAAGGTTTGCATTAGGTATCTGTGCCAGGAGGAGAGAGCAGAATGCCTTTTGCTGCACGGTGCTGTGCCGTCTCAGCTCCTCCAGCTGGATACCTCCCAGGAAGTGCTGCGGGCCTGAATCTCATTTACACCAAGACACTTTGCATCGCTCTGACAATGTAAAGAGGCCTCAAAGGAGGTGTAAAGCTCGAGCGGTGTAGTGGAACCGTAGTGTGAATGAGATGCAAGAGCAAATACCCACAAGGAGGAGGGCTAGCTCAGTAGCTTGAGCATTGGCCTACTAAACCGAGAGTTATGCATTCAATCCTTGTAGAGGCCATTTGGGGCAAAAATATGTCATGGATAGTACTTACTCTTGCTGCAAGGGCAGGGGACTGGACTAGATAACCTTGCAAGGTCCCTTCCAGTTCTAGGAGATAGGCAATCTCCATTAATTTCAATTTCTTCTAAGGACAGGTGCTGTGCGGGAGGTACCCACGGTAGGTTTTCAGATAGTTTGGCACAGTGAGAGCATGAACTGCAGTGGTATTAAAGAAACTGCTTTTAAAGTGTCACCTACTGCCTATTCTCTAGTGGAAAATCATCGCTGTTCCAGTGACCCTAAGGGGACAGCTGCACCCTTTTCTCTCCTTCCCCAAGCCATGCTATGAATGGACAGATGTGGCCCTGTATATTCCTCCGGGATTGGGTTACTGTCATCCGAGCTGAAAGGCATGATCTGTTGTCTGGTAATTTCTGTGGCTTCTGTTACAAAGGAATTTAATTTTCTACTACTGACGGGTTTTTTTTTAAGATATTGGCTCAGTTCTATATTTTATACATTATGAGTTCCGTTCTTTAGTACAGTCTTCAGTTGCCATTTTTGTTTTTAATAATCCCGTTGCATTTTTAAGCATCTTCCTCACTTCCATAACCTTCACAGGGTCGCTTGCATATTTTCATGGGTTTTCTTTTTTGCCATGGTGTTTGTAAATTGTGCCTGCCCTGCAACCCTTTATTCGTATGAGTAATCCTGACTCAAAAGATAGATATGTTCTTGATTTACAGCAGCATGATTCACATCAGCTTGATTTACATCAAAATCCAGGCCTATTAATTGCAGTGGGGGTGCATACATGAGTTAGGACAACTTGCCTGAGTAAATGCTGCAGGATCAGACACTAATTGGACAATTAGATCTCTCAGTATCTGACTCCTCTGATCCTGCTGTTACTCCCTCAACTTGAAGAGTCAAAGTGTAAATGAGAAGCAAGAGCTAATGTCTACTGACAGGTGCTGCGAGGGAGCTGATTCCTATGGAAAAGTCCCATGGACTCTAGCAGGGAGAACTCCAGTGCAGTGAGATAAAACTTAATTTAGAATTGGATACGTTTTCCTAAAGGATGGTATATTTCCTGGACAATTTTTTTAAATGAGCCAACAACATTGAATAAAACAATCTCTACCACAGAATTCCACAGGTTGTTTCAAAGAAAAACAAAGCTACAGAAAGCCTTTTAGAAAAGTCTGATGGATCTGAACAACAGGAGACAGCAATAAAAAGGTTACTGTTAAACCAGAATAAACAGGACGACAGTTCAGTGACAATATTCCTACTCATGGGATTTTTCTTATCATTCTTGTATTCCTCTTTTTTCTCCCACTCTCTATTTTGTAACCCCAGATCGATGTAACACTTTCAGAGGATTTTACTATGATTTTATTGGTAACATTTCTATTTACCCCATTACTGTCATCTAGGATTCCCTCGGTATCATGTTTAAGGACACTGGTCTCTCTTTTTATCCCGCATGCATTTTTTCTCTCCTGTTCTTTTTAATTTTGGCACTTTAACACTGGTCCTGTCTTGATGCGCATTAATGGCCCCAGTCAGATGACAATTTTGTGGAAAGACAGGATCGGGATGCAAAATAAGGACCCACTTTTCTTACAGCCTTTCCGTCTCCACAGCTTGGGGGGGTGGTTCCCAATCAGACACTTTGGTGCAGTTGGAATGAAAAGTGCTAGATCTGGGGCCAGACCCACTTTGCAACCTTATAGCTAATGTTCCGGCAAGTGGATGAGTGTGTTTCTTCCATAGCCACTCCATTCCACTGTCGCTCCCTGTTTCAGAGGTACGTGATGTGCCTAAGGAAAATGGACATGTCTGGGGGACTCTGTCTACTCCATTAATCCCCAGTTACCAGACTGCCCTGTTAGGAGTATGGACAGCTCGGTGTAATATAGAACAACCCCAGCGCTAAATAGCCTCAGGATCAAGAAGAGGAGGTGTCAAAGTGGCTGTGGTCATTTTTCAGGTTGAGGTGAGCTCATGGGTTGTCATCACTGAGGCTGTCGATGCTGATAATCCACTCAATTAGCTATGGAATCTTTTGATTTTTGAGTATGGCCTCAACCCAGAATTGGGGTGGGCCCTACAAAGAATTGAAATAAATAAATCCAATAGGATCCATGCACCAGAGCAAGAGAAGAGGGCGGGTGAAATGCTGGCTCCCTTGAAATTAATCAG